TTGGCCAGTTACTTTCCAAGTACTCTTCAGACTGTTGTTGGGAAGATGGCGGCCGGCCTGGGGCCGGAAGCACCAGTGTAGCTGGGAACACTGCAGTGTAAGTCTCAGAGGGAAGGAAGGGCAACACACGGTGGTGGTGGGTGCCTGAGTTGCAAGCTTGCTCTTACCTGATTCTGTCACCACCTTGGCCTGGGAGAGTAGAGTACCTGAGAGAAGCTAGTGTGGCTAGATCTTGGCGTACCTTTCTCTGCTCCCCCTCTCTGGAGGTGTTTGGGAAAAGAGAGGCTAAACTGAGTTTCTTCTGGGCCCCTGCAGACACGGGGCTTCCCATAGATCCCTAGTTTACTGTGTGTAATGACGTGAGACAGGCCCTGAGTGAGGGAAGTGAGGAAGCTGTGATGTGGGGAGTAGGGGTTCAGGTCAGCTATCAGGAAAGATGGTGGGAGAAAGAGGTATTACTCCAGGCTGGAGAAGCCTAAGGGTAGGCCCTTAGGGCAAGAAGGTGTGCGGTGTGGAGAGGGGGTTGGGGCTGGCCCAACATCCCACTGTACTTTGGTGATTCCCTCTCTACCTTGCTGACTCCCTCCTCTGTCAGGGTAAAATTCCCTCCCCTATTCCTACTGTATTTAGTTCTTTGTAACTGGAAGCCCCATTAGGAGCCTGGAAAGTTCCTCCCTCACCGGGCACTGTCTGTGCCTCCTGCAGCCTAGCTGCACTTCCCAGCACCCTGCACTGGCCTGCAGGGTGTAGGAGGCTGCAACTGCAGCCCTGAGGCACACTTCCCACCTCCTGGCCTGTTGTAGAGAAAGCCAAACCAGTTCCTCTGTATTGCCATTGTTAGTTCCAGGAGCCCACAGGACAGGGAGGGCCAAATCTTACCTGGAACCCTTGGTAGCACCTGAATTTGTTACCACAAGCAGCTTTTCCTTTTTTTTTTCCTTCACATTTCTTGTCAAAAGCAAAAGCTGTCAGTAGAAATAATTTTGACTGACAGTAACAAATAAGTTAGGGCAGAAGGGTTACTTTCCATAGAAAAGAGCAGATAGAGATAGCCGTGTGTGTGTGTGTGTGTGTGTGTGTGTGTGTGTGTGTGTGTGTGTGTGTGTGTGTGTATGTACGTACGTACACATGTGCTCTAGATCTTGTTAAAAGATTAATTCAATCTAATAATTCCCTGGGCCAAGAGTAATTGACTTTGATGGATCCCAGGGCTGCTCAAAGTCCCAGTAATGAGATAACTGCCCTGACGTAACGGGATTAAGCCTGGACAGACCTGGGTGAGCTGGCACTGACTTCATCGTGTTCATTTCATGGGGGAAAATTACGCTCATCCATTACAACTAACTTTTCCAGGAAGCAGATTTGAAAGTGTGTGTGACCTAGGGTGACCCTGGGTGGCCATGGAGAGAGGGCACCTGCGTGGGCCCCGGGTGGGGGGTGCATGGGGGCCCCAGCCCTGCACCCAGCCATCCTGGATGGTCAGGCCTCATGGCTTGCCCTGGACTTTCTAACTGGGGTCGGTATGGGATGGTTTGAAGAGGAAGCAAGCCCAGTCTGAGCTTGGCTCCTTTGACAGGGCAGTGATGTGGTGCTAAGGGGATTCTGGGATCCTCTCTGGACCCTTGGGCTCCAACTGCATGAACACCTGCTTCACAGGACTCTTCTGCTCCTAGGGGGACGTGTGAAGACCTGGAAACGGCGCTGGTTCATCCTCACAGATAACTGCCTCTACTACTTTGAGTACACTACGGTAAGTGAGGCTGCATTACCTTCTCCAGAGTCCTGGGAGCCTCAGTCTGTCAGGCCTTGCCTCACACATCTGTCTTCTAGGACAAGGAGCCCAGGGGGATCATCCCGCTGGAGAACCTCAGCATCAGGGAGGTGGAGGACCCTCGGAAACCGGTACGAGGTTTCCCTGTGCCTGCGTCTTTCCACTCCAGATCTTTGCAGCCTCCCCTTCTCCCTGCCCCTGTGACGGCTCTCTTCTCTCTACCAGAACTGCTTTGAACTGTACAACCCCAGTCACAAAGGGCAGGTCATCAAAGCCTGCAAGACAGAGGCAGATGGCCGTGTGGTGGAGGGGAACCATGTTGTATACCGGATCTCCGCCCCTAGCCCCGAGGAGAAGGAAGAGTGGATGAAGTCTATCAAGTGAGTGAGGACAGCCAGGCTGCTCAGTCCCGTGGGAAGCGGGAGTGTTGTGTGCACATATGTACATGTCGGATCCCTGTCCTCATTGTGTCAGGATTGACCTTTGTCAGAAACTCGAAGATTAGCCTGGTCACCCCAGACCTACACCTGCTGCTTGTTTTGTGCCTGTCGGGTGGTGGGACTGGGCATCCAGACCTTGCTGCATTCACAACCCACTTCTCTTCCTTTCTTCCCCAGAGCAAGCATCAGTAGGGACCCATTCTATGACATGTTGGCCACAAGGAAAAGGAGGATTGCCAATAAGAAATAGGTAAATGCCAAGACCCAGACGCCACAGCAGATGCACCGGCTACTCACAGGCAGCAGGACGAGGGGAGTGTGCTGCCCATGGGTCCTCCAGAACAGCTAGCCAAGGCCCAAGCCCTCAAAGCCTTGTGCTGTCCTCGGGGATGTTGGTCAGCTGTGTTTCCTTCCTGCCACTGTCCTGGGTTGACCTTTGGGGACCCTTGTCAGAACAGCACCTGGTGACACGGCCTCAGGGCCTGCACAGCCCACAGGGACTCCTTTTCTGGAGCCAGAGCCTCATCCACACCATGCCACACCTGCTCTTTCGGGCAGCACTAGCTGTTCTAGAAGTCGCTGTTTTATATCAAAATGGGAAAGGAAAACCTACCATTTTTTTATCCAGAATTTTTCTCAGATATATAGGATTATAGCTTTTATATGCCTTTTTATATTCTGAAAATTATAATGAAAGATACTTAATTTCTAACAGTAGTATTTTTAGAATGGCAGCTATAAACTTAACTCCTGGACACAAGTCTATACTGTGCACTGAAAACAGTCTATATATGCAGCCCCCAAGCACTTGAGTGGAAGCAGTTCGGCCTGATGTGGCAGGCAGGGCACAGGCAGCCACTCTGGGTGATGAGGCACTGGGCTAACCATGAAGACCAGTATGCTTGAGAGACTCCAGGTGGGGCTAACTGCCACTTCCCCTCACGTACTTCTGTAGAGATGAATCACTAAAATACGGTTATGGCTCGCGATGTTTAGCCTGTCAGTGTCGAGGCCTGGGCGATAAGAGTCCTCTCCCTGGAAACAGGCTGTTGACGTGTTTACCACACGAATCTCTTGTCTGACCTTCACACATGACAGCTCCACGTGGTCCATCTGCACGTGGCTCATGTTGGCTTCGGTACTTTTTGTTCCTTGCTGTTTCAAACTTTTGGTTAAGTGCTCACCGACATAGTAATCAGAGGCGATATTTTAATGTAGTGACTAGGCATAAGCAGCCAGAAGTAACTCACCTATCCTCTGGTAGTGCCAGTTCTCCGACATTTTCCCCTTTTGAGGAGGGGGAAAAACTGAAGGTGGCACTTAGGGAACCTATGGCAATAGAACCCTATATATACCCGGGTGTGATTTCAGGGTACTGTGTGCTTAGGCTGAGACAGGGACAGGGTAAGGTGGTAGGGCCTTTTCTGTTGCACCTTTGGGGAGGCCCATTCATAATTTGGAGGACCCTCTTGAGGCTGCATGTGGCTTGTTTGGAAAATGGCCTTCCCTGCCAAAGTGCTTGCCTGCTCTGTCTGAACAGACACACCTGGAGCTTGCATCCCGAGGGTCCTTGAAAACCTTCAACCAAATGCACTTAGACATGACTTTTCTGTGGGCTGTCTTGAGGCTCTTTGCCTCAGAGGTAGCTTTCACATAAGATTTTGGGGATGATGGTCAAGGCCAAAACTCCCTCATGTACCAGACTGATCACTTTTTGGGTTATTCCCATGCTTTTAGGCTTTTACTTTTACTAATACCTCAAATCTGAAACCTTTGTTTGAGCTGCCTGGCTGGTGTGTATGCAGCTTAGCTTCCAGTCTTCCATGATCCCTACCCCACGGCCTTCACCACCTCAGACCAGAGCCTGCTGCTGATTGGGCACCTGTGGGGGGGGGGGGGGGGCTGGAGGTAGGGAACTGACATGCCTTCCATCAAGGACTCTGGTGAATCTGCCTTCTCATGTCCAACCCAGGTATGGTCCTGGGGATACAGCGCTCTTTGTTGGATGTTGAGGATGTTGCCTTATGGCTGTTGGTTGGCTGGTGGCTGTTGGTGCTAAGAATCCTAAGTTACTGGCTCTCAGAGTATCTACATGGAGTCACCTAACTCAGGTTATGTTGTGACAGTATTAACCCCAAGGGCATCTGGCCCCTTCCAGGGCTTGCAAAGGCTCGGTCATACTCACGCCCTGTCTGCACTTATCATCGAAGCATTAAGCCCTACTCTGGCCAAAGACAGTTTCCTGTCCTGCTGGGCCCTGGTGTCATTTTCAGGTGTAGGTAGACTGGCCCTGGAGGTGTCAGAACACTTGAGTGACGTGGTCCCACCGTCTACCTAGGAGCTGTTGGAGATGCAGCAGCTCTGTGCTTCGTGTCATACTGATTTCAGAGCTACAGCTGTGCTTTGCTGACAAGTTAGGTCTGTTACAGACCAGAAACCACAAGTGATTTCTTTCTTTTTATCTTAGAAAACATTTCTATTTACAATAAAGTTAGTATGTAAATAATGTACATATGTATTAATTTCTGCAGTGTTTGTTATACAATGTACATACTCCCACAACCTGCATGAAAAAATATCCTATTACTGTTGATATCAGAATTTCTGGCTCTTTTACTGCAAAGCAAACAGCTAGTAAAATGGAGGGCTTACAGCTGTCAGAACTATTGCAAATACTGTGTTCCCTAAATAAAAACACACTGCTAAAACACAACTGCCTCAGACTCAATTCTTCAAAACAGACGTGGCTGTGAGTTTATGGAGAACAGAGTAAAATTGAGCCAGAGTCGTTGAATTTGCTGCCATTTATATACTATATAAATTTTACATGCCATATATACAGTGGGGCAAGTGCTTTTTTAATCTTAAAAAAACAAAGATCAACTTTAGACATCTCTGAACAACACAAACTGTATAAACCATACAGATTATTCAGATACACACTGTATTAAATACAGTCTTTTCCCCACTCCCGTCTCCTGATGCAGGACCAGTGAATTATAAGTGTATCACAGTTTGATAGCATATCCATATTAAAAATAAAATCACAGTATGATTTTTGTCTGTAACTAGAAACTTGAAGGGATCAAGCTGACGACTCAGACTCCAATATCATATTGTCGAGACGAGACACAGTATAAAAAGTGTTAGGTAATAAAAACATACTGTAGGCTTTACAAATAATGTCTGGATTATACATTCATAATGCAAATACTCATCATAACTGGTAAATTGATTGGAATAGTTCCACAAAGTTCAAAAACAGAACTTGTCTATAAAATACATCTTCAACTCTTGAATACAACTAAAATGTGAAGCAAATTAGTTTCTAGTATCAGACATTGCAGAGGAAGCCCTCGAAGGTCTAGTTGAGAGCTTGGGTCTTTAAATTAAATAGACGCACTGTGGGTTTGTCCTTTTGAAGTCCATGGTTCCCAGCTGGCTGTGCACCAGATGTCTAGCTTGGAGGAACATTACATGAAATACAAGTAGTCAACCTGAGTCTGTAGTTAAGCAGCATCTGAGATGGTCTATTCCAGGGCATTATTTTCAGTGTGGTTTTTATGTACACGGTAATTTACAATGTTCAGCAGTGTACAAAGTATCCGTTTGGAATAAGGGCAATTAAGAAAAGGTAAAAACCAAAAAAAAAAAAAAAAAAAAAAAAACCCAAAAAAAAAACCTTAAAAAAAAAAGTTGTCCATGGTAAAGTCTGTACAGTATTTACTAAAGAAGCACCACGCAGTTTGGACAAAGTTACTTTCTATGTTTATAATTTAAGCTGGGTTGGGGATGGCTTCTGTTGAAAATGTTGAATCTGAAAGAAAAGAGGTGCAAGCATTAGCTGAAGGGAGGCTGGATGAAAAGTTCCTAAAGTGAGTTCCTTCCTGAACTGTAGTTGGGAAGCCAGGGAGGCGCCATCTGCTGGGCCCCACAGCTGCTAATCGCCTCAGATTCCACTTTCACTGGGCAGAGGAGAAGCTTACAGTCTTTGTCTTGATGACAAAGCCTGTTAACTAGCTGCAAACTGAGCTTCTGTAGCAGCTCATTTTAAAGCCTTCTTTGCAGACTGGACTGACAGACATTGTTCTTTTTGCTTCACCAAGTGTGGGCTATGAGTTCCTGTCTCTCATGGCCATACAATAAAACACCAACAATCAGGACCCCCAGATATGGCCCTGACCCCTGTGTGGTTCTTCTCTGCTCTCAGATACTTAACCCCACTTCTCAGCACAACTTCCATGTCTAGACACGCTAGCTAGTGGCTGAGTGTATGCTGGAGACACAGACCCCCAGGACTCCAGTCTTTTCTTCAGAATAAACCCAACTATATCCACTCAGCACTTCTACAAACGACCAAAACAGAGACAGGAGAATTGCTTACCGTAATTTTTTTTTTTTTTTTTTTTTTGTTATGAGGCCAAGGCTTTAATCACCTGGAAGGTAAAGTGAGGAAACAATTTAATGTGTGTATAGCTGAGGACTGACTACAATCAGTTCCTGCAGTTTGATGTCAGCTGCTGAAAAATCACTCCTACAGGATGAGCAAGCAGACACTGGCTGGCAGTGCTTCAAAGAACACCAATAGAGGATGCTCTAGAGCCATGCCCGACGACCAGGTCTCTGCCCCAGCATACTGCTGTACATTCTTATGTGACAGACAGATTTCAGCCCAAAGAAATGAGCTGAGAGTCCTACAGAGAGCTGTAGGAAGAACTGAAGTTTGTAAGGAAGGGTCAGTGGTCACAGCAGAGGTGTGGGTGCAGAGGCATTAGCTGCAAACCAGCCACCAGTTTGGGGTAGCCTGATGCAGTGTACGGGTGGACTGCCAAAGAGCAAAAGGTTCCACTCGGTCACTAACACATCTCTGTAGCAACACATGTGCCTTTTATTCGTGACCATAATCTTTGAGTGTCTGGGGCAGAATGGACAAGCTTTTTATATCAGGGACCAGATGATGAAAACCTTTTCGATGGGACAGGCCATGTCTTACCTCTACTGAGTGGCACCAAAACAGTACAACACAAAACACGAGCTTCAGCTAAAGTCTACTGATTTCACACAGTGTTTCACTTGAACAAATACTACTAAGTACTTTCAAGTGTTAGAGCCGTTCTGAATTGCAGGTTAGGCTGTAGCCCCAGGGCTACAGTTTGCCAGCCTCTGCTCTGGCCCTACTGACATTCATATCCCGTACATTTTTTACAAGCCAAATGCTCCCATTTAGAGGAAAAGCTCATTAGAAACAGGGTAGGAAGAGAAAGGGGCAGCCAAGCACACTGGCACTGGTCTATAATCTTAGCACTCAGGAGGGTGAGGGAGGATTGTGAGTTCCGGACTAGCCTGGAACCATCATTTAGGGAGAAGAGATCCAGTAAAAACACCTCAGAAACCAGCAGCCTGGAGGATGCCAGAGCCTCACATTGTAGATACATCTCTAGAGACCACACTACTGAGTTATGGCTTAGGAACTGGGATATGCTAGGGCCTTTAGGGATTCAGAAGTTAACACAATACACACACACACACACACACACACACACACACACACACACACACACACACACACACACAGATGTACATGTGAGTGCACACAAATATACACACAGGCACAGAATACTTTAAAAGCCAAAGTTCTGTGTGACACACATAGGCGCTCTGAGTTCCAGGGGGTCTGAGCACATAGGTTATGCCCGGCCCAGCTCCATGCAACTCAGGCCTTCAACAGAGGTCACACCCAGCCAGAGGTCAAACCACGCTTCTGCTCATTGGGAGGGTACTCAGGCCTTCAACAGAGGTCACACCCAGCCAGAGGTCAAACCACACCTCTGCTCATCGGGAGGGTCTTGTTTGGGGGCATCTTGAGTCCACTCTCACACCCTTCTGTTCCCCTTACATTTCTGTGTTCAGGACCTTTCCCAAAACACGTTACTCAAAGAGCTGTGTCCTTAATTCCCCATCTTCTTACCCTGGCCATACTCTAACAGATGACATCTGTCAGGCCGGCTTTCCATCCTTAAATGCTTGGTTTTCTCCCGGAGAGAGCCACTGTCTTCCAGAGGCAGGCCATCAGCCAGCAGAAAGGTGCCCTCCGTTCTCCGGAAATGGCCGACAGCCTCATAGCTTGAGGACTTCGGTAAATGCATCTCAACATCTTTCATAAAGTCCTCTGACTTCCTCGAATGTCTTTTCTTTTTCTTCTTTTTCTTCCGGTGTCTATGGAGGTCAGTGTCAGAGTATGCTCCCGACAAGTCGGATTCTTGCTGGTGCCTACAGAAGAAGCAGCCAGAGTTCAGCATCAAGGAACACTGCAGTCCTGGGTCTCCATCCCCCGGGACAGTGGCTATGCATCTCTGGGCAAATTTCTCCTGCCAACATGTTTCCTTTCACGGAAACAAGTGTTAAGCCCAAGGTCTTCAATTACAACACCACGGTCCACAGCACTGCTTTGCCTTAGCCAGGCTTGGCACATTCTGCCACATGTCCAGGACAGGACAGAAGGCAGCCGTGACCTGCTGCCTGTTTACAGATAGCTATGGCAATCTTCCCCAGTTTTAATGTTAAGTGATATCAGCTAAAAGATACAGGAATTGCATTCATGCTCACAATTCAGACATCAATTAAGACTGTCACCAACAGTTAAGCTCCTAAGTGATGCAAAACCAATCAGGTGTGGTGACAGCCTGTAAATGCCAGCACTGGGGATACTAAGGCAGGGGGATCTAAGTTGGAGGCCAGCTTGGGCCTCAAAAAAGATACAAAAACATTTAAGACTTCAAAATGAGAAATGGTGGCCTACAAAGGAGACAAAAGCCAAAGAAAGAAATGAGTGTGTCCTAAACTCACTCCAAGTGGGCAAGCAGGCAGAGGAGAAGATACAACAGACACACAAATACGACGATGTATGTCAGGCCAGGGAGAGCAGTTAGGGACCAACAATTTAAAAGCTGTGTGAAACTTTAGAGACGGGTAAAATAATCAAACCTCAGCAAACTCCCATGATTAAAAAAAACAAACTGGTGGAGCAAGACCCAACCCTCTGGCTTGGTATCATCGGGACAGAGCTGGCCAGGCAAGTGCTGTGGCCACTCCAAGCTCAGCCACTGGGTCCCCTCTCCAGGTCTCACCTGCCGTCTCGATCCCGATGTTTATCTTTGGACTTCTTTTTCTTTTTAGATTTTTTGTGCTTCTTCGCCCTTGGCTCTTCTAAAGTGTCCTTCTCTAGATTTTTGTGGGCTTTTTTTTCTAGGCGGCTATCAACATTTTCTAAAGTCTCATACCTCCGTTTCCTCGACTTGACACTTTCGTGTTCATGAAAGCGCTCAGGGAGGCTGTGGCTGCTTTCCTGCACATCCAGAACAGCCTTCTCCTGGGGATGCCTCTCGAGGGGCAGGGCAAGGCCAGGGGCTTCTCGTGGGTTGTGGAAGTGGGGCCGTTCCTTCCCCCGGGGTTGCGGCTCCCAGCCCTTACGGCCCCAGTAGCTGTCTTTGTGTGGACGCCCAGGCTGGGCAGTGTGTTCATGTTCACGACCATGCAGAGGCCGCCACTCTCGGGCCGTGTACGGGGTGTACCTGTCGTGGTAATACCTGCATTTGTCCCACCGCATCTTGTCTGGGTAGAATCTCTCCCTGACCCAGGCACGCTCGTTTTCCAAATGGTGGTACCGGCTCCAGTCCTGCTCTGGGCCATTCCTAACCCGTGAGTGATGGTGGCTGTATCTGCTCAGGGAGCGGCGCTCAGGGCTGGCTCTGTCACCATGGCCCAGGTGCTGGCCCCCATTGCAGTATGTATTAGCAGGGTGGCGCTCCTGCTTGGGCCGCTCTCGGCTGTAGCAGCGCCGCTTCTTATGGTGGTGGTCCTCTGTCCGGGCCCTGCCGTCCCTCACATGCTCCCCACTAGAAGAACGCTCTCTCCGGCTTCGATAATGTCCTCGATCCACTTTCCGGAGGCTGCTCATCTTTTCCTTAGCTGGGGAAGGCTCTTGAACTTTGGGTCCCACCTTGCTTCCATCACCTCTGTCCCCAGTCACCTGCTCGGCAGCCCCTTCACAAGAGCTGGTGGTCCTGTCAGGCTGAGGGGGCACTGTGTCTGCAGAGATCCCTGAGCTTCTGGAAGAGTCTTCCGCTTCCTCGGATCCCTCTGTGCTGAGGTAAAGGAAGAGTTTCTGCTCACACCCATCACCTGTGAGCACTGAGGGAGCCGGGCTCAGCCTCTCCCCTGCTTCAGCCGTGGTGGGGTCCTGCGAGTTCTCGGCTCTCTCCCCTCTCACTGCTTGGGTTGGCTGGCTCGGGCTGGTAGTCAAGTCATCAGGGTCACACGATTCGGGCGCTGGAGCATCCCCCAAGGTAGTACCGGTGGTGTTACAAAGAGCGGTGATGGAGGGCGGAGCCTCCACAGGGCTAGCTGAAACAACAATCGAGGAGTCTTCTTTGGTACAGTTGATGGTAGGTTCCAGGGGTGACATGGTCGTAGGGGTCTTCACGCTCCCATTGGTGACGGCCTCCGGTGTCTCAAAGGGACCAGTCTCATCACTGATGGGCTCCAGCTGTGAAACAGGGTCCTTCGGGGGGCCTTCCCTTGTTGTAGTCCAACTACAGCCCCATCAAAACAAAGAAACAAAAGCGATGGTGAGACTGACAGCTACACAGGACTGCCAGACAGCCCTGCTCAACAGCCTGTACTTTAAGCATAGCTGATGAAATGCAGTACGAGGCTCATCATTCCTGGAAACCAAGTTTTTCTTTTCCCTCATTAAGTATGAAAGAAATCTGCATCAGGACTACTTCCTGTTTTCACAACTCTGCAGCTCTAGACACTTCATACTTTCAGCTAAGTATCTAACTCATCTGAAGAGCTACATGTAGCCAGGCATGGTGGCTACACGTATTTGTAAGCCCAGCATTTGGGAAACTGGGCAAGAATTTGAAGGCAGCCTGATCTACACAGTAAGTTCCAGGCCGGCCTGGACTACACAGTGAGGCCCTGTCTCAAGATCTAGGGCTAAGGGTGTAGTGCAGTTGGTAGTGTTCACCAGCATACACAAACCCTGGATTCTGCCCTCAGCACTGTGTAGAGCAGGTGTGATGGTGCAACCTGACAACCCAGCACTCAGGAGGCGGCGGCGGCAGGAGGATTGAGAATTCAGGGCCATTTTCAGCTACATAGGGGACCGGAGGTCAGTCTCAACAACGTGAGTCCGTCTCAAAAACAAAACCAGGCCGGGCGGTGGTGGCGCACGCCTTTAATCCCAGCACTCGGGAGGCAGAGCCAGGCGGATCTCTGTGAGTTCGAGGCCAGCCTGGGCTACAGCGCGAGATCCAGGAAAGGCGCAAAGCTACACAGAGAAACCCTGTCTCGAAAAACCAAAAAAAAAAAAAAAAAAAAAAACCAGTGTTTCCAGGAATACCACACCTGCAAGAGGGCATGCAGGAGGAAACGTCAGCTGAACCCATCAAGGGAACGTGACTGCTGGCTTCCTAGGCTGGTATTTTACTCTAAGAGGTAAGCTAACAAGACCCACAGACTATCGATCATACCAGCCTTTCCACTATCTGATGTGCTCAGGCACACTGTGTGCTCACTCACACTGTGTGCTCAACTCACACTGGCACACTCACTGACGTGACTCCTACCTCTCTTCACCCAATGGGCCCTTTGCCTGGTTAGTAAGCTTGAAGGTCTCGAGGATTCTGTCTTCGGGAACAGACTGTAAAGGAGCAGGGGTCACCTACAATGAAACAAAGTACTTCAGCTCCAGTGGCCAGCTCCATGCCTAATGAAATCCAGCTAAGTGAGCTATGAGATTTGAGACCTCCCTCCCTGCTGCTTACCTTTCCAGGAAGACCATTAAGTTTGGAAAAGAGGTTTTCTGTGTGTAGATCGGGCTGGACCTGGCAGCTGGTACTGTCAAAGGCCAGGCCGTTTTCTCTCAGGTCGCTGTCTGGGCTATTAGCACCATTTAACGTGACAGATTCTTGAAGCTCCTGAGGCGAAGCCTCACCGTTCTCATCTTCAGCTTCTGGCCTGGCACAGGGAGTGCTGGCCATCATATCTACACCATTCTCCTTGGCCAGGCCCTTTGACTCCTCATCAGACTCTTCTGAGGACTCAGCCCCGTAGGGGACCAGCACGCTGGAGCTCACCTTAGCCTTGCCGTTCACCATGGGCTTAGAACAGGATTCACTAGGGGAAACTGATTTTGCTACTTTATTAGAGACTGATGTCACGGGTGCGTTCGAGGTAGACTGTATTGCAGAGGAGTTAGTGACGGTGGAGGAAGGTGCCGCCTTGCTAGGGGCCTCCAGAGAAGGGCCATGGAGGTTGTTATTCAGCTGTGCCTGACCCTGGCGAACAGGCAACTTGTTGTGAATACTGATGGTAATTTTTTGTTTCTTGGGGTGCTCTGGAATAACTGAGGGCCTGCTGACAGACCAGCTTTGCACAGAAGTCGAAGCATTAACAGGACTGGCCCTGCTGACGCTGGTGTTTCCATTAGGGCTTGACATGGAACTACTTGGTGTGTCTTTCACTGGTGTGGTGCCATTCAAGTGTGGTGCATTCTATAAGGAGGAACCGAACAGTTGGGTCAGGACTCTAGACACAGAGTACACAATGGTTAGGGCCCTTCTCATTTTGGTTTTGGTAACTGACAAGCTTGACCTATGCAGAAATACCTACCATTCTGTTATCTGTTTACAAGCAAACTCTTTCCACACTGCCACACTCCTAAGATGACCCACAGACATGAACAAAGTGTCCCTGAAAGATTTTTACTTCCCTGAGTCCAGCTTTAATTAAGAGCCCAAATACCTAGCCCACAAGAAGTGTGGGAGTGCACGTAAGAGGGGCCTTCCACACACTCCCTAAGCAGCCACTGGATCACTACTCCCCCATCCTGGAGCCTTTTATGTAATAAAGGGCTACAGTGACCTCAGGCAGGAAATTCAGCAGATGAGGCAACTCCTGCAGTGATACCAGGTTTGGGATTCAAGCAGAAATGCATTCCCAACTGAAGCGTTACCTTCATGACATGGGAAGGCAGCTGGGGTCCAATAAACCCTGGGGCTGCCTGCTTGTTGTTGACGACCCGCTGACTGATTCCTGGGCGGGGAGAGGACTGGCCAGGACTATGGGTAGGATGAGTGGGTTCCCCTCCATTTTTCACATCATGTGACCTGAGGACAAAGAATGAAATAGCTTATATGAGGAAGGACATCTCCCTAGAAGATTTATTTATAAATCCAACAGTACTTAGCCTGTCAGACAGAAATGGGAAATGGAGCTTCCGTGTCTCATGGACAGAGCTACACATACCATCTCCATTAGGCTGTCAGTGCTGGGTGCTGAGGCAGGACACAATGAACTGATTCAATGAGCGCCCCTGCCCCTACAAGATACATTACATGGCCCTGGCTATCTTGGAACTGGGTATGTAGGCTAGGCTGACCTCAAACATACAGAGATCCACTGGCCTCTGCCTCTTGGGATTAAAGGTGTGTACCACCACACCCAGCACCAACTGGGTCAAGAAATGTTGGTTTCAGTTTGGATTTTTTGTTATCGTTAGTTTTTGTCTTTTTGCTATTGTTTTGGAGACATGGTCTCATTCTAAAGCTCTGGATGGCTTGGAACTCACTTGTGTAGTTTTGGCTGGCCTCAAACTTGGGGCAATTAATTCTCCTGCCTGAGTCTGAGTACTGGGATTACGAGCATGAGCCTCCATGCCTGGCTCTTAATTATGTTTTAAACTGTATTATTTTGATAGTTCTGCTCTCTAAAAAAACTATTTTTCTGTTTATATTTTCAATTATAAATATACACCATCATAGAAAATCTATAATATCAACTGTCAATGACTCTACATCTCCCCTTCTGATTCAGATTGTCTCCCAGGCGTTTTGCCCATACCGTTCTTTTCAGTACCTGCATTTAATATTTCAAACTGTTTCCCCTCCATATACATTCAGCACTTTCCCAGAGCATAGAAAAAATAAAAAAGGCTTTATGAAAATCACTCTCAGCAGAAAGATCAAGAAATCAAGGTCATTCTGCATTATACAGTAAAGTCCTGATCTCCCCCAACAAATTACTCTTAACACTGGTATAGTACCTCAACCTGTGGATATGATCATTCTGACCTGGTTGAGTATCTGGGGATAGTCTTAATTTTCAGCTACTTGGCATACTTTGTGGGGCTGAAAATGTGGCTGATAGAAGGCCTGGCTGGCATGTTTGAGACCCTGGGTTCTACCCCAAGTACCTTACAAAGAAAGGAGACAACTTGGAGCATGTATCAGATTTCTCCAAAAATAGAACTGGTGAGTTAAGAGCTTGCAGCCACAGCAGACAGAGTGGGCCCGAGTGCTGGCAGTGTCCACTAGAGGCCTGTGTTCACGCTGGGGAGGTACTGGCTGAGAGAGAAGAGCACAAGAGCACACAGCCCCCTTCCATGGCCTCCTCGGGGCTGCTGTTCCCTCCTTCTACGCTTGTCAGGGAGCAGGAAGCTACAGCAAACTTACACTCGGAAAGACCTCATGCTCAGGCACATGGCAATTAATCTTTAACTTGCTGTTTTTAAAAAGCAGCTCAAAATTAAATATGTTGATGAGGGGAAGAGAAATTGACACAACAGCAAAGCTGACAACTTGTGTTCCAGTCAATACCTGATATAGAAGAGCACGTAAGCTTGCTGGTTAAGCACCGACCTAATATCACTGGTGGACACGATGGAATCATTCATCTGATACCAGAGGCCATTGCTAGCCTGTCAAAGAAACCACAGAGAGGCTGGATTGAGTCTGATGTCAAGGACCACAGTCAAAAACCACCTAAGAAAAATAGACCATCACACCTCACTGTAAAAGCCCCACTGTTGACCCCAGGAATCCAGTGCTGTCCCACAGCAGACTTACTAGCCACCCAGCAGCTTACCTTTATGTAGCAAAAGTAGTGGCCAGCATGACAGTTAAAACCAGTGTGTACCAGCACAGCATACAAAACATAAATAATTGGTTCCCCATTGGGCTGAGACATATAGGGCCGAATATCAAGGTACTCAGGATATTTCACATCCTAAAAATAAATGGGAAGAGTTAGGGCCGTCATCTCTGAAGACACAGGTGGCCCATGTTTTCAACTACAGGCATACACCTAAGGATGGTGTTTGAGGAAGGGACTAGCAGGACCTACAACCCTTGACCCCAGAAAGCCAATGCATGGAGTAGAAGAGAGCTGAGGGTAATCCCATTGTTTTTATTTGCCATAAATAAGGAAGGATCCACACCGTGAATCTTCAACAAAATGTAACAGGGACAACTCTAGATGTCACTCATGACTTATTTTAAGTGACTCAAGCATGTGTTATATCTTAGCCACTTTCATCATTAATTGAGAAGAAAAGGGGAAAATTCAATGTACAGTGATTAAAAAAAAATCACAAATCATGTATATACCTTAGCAATTTTTCCACCAGTGAAGTTGGCAAAGCGCTTCAGTGAAATGGTGAGAACATTAGAGGACCTATGGATGGTGAATCTCTTTGAAGCTGGAACCATTTTTTTGCACCTTGAAACACACAGGAAGGAAAGGTTGGGATGCTTGGTATAGATACTTCAGTGTTTCAGTTTTTATTTTCCTAAAATACTCTAAGTTAATATTTAAAACAAAGAAATTAAATAAAAACAACAACAAAACATCTCAGTCAAAATAGTAAAATTAGAAATTCCAGGAGGGCGGGGGTGTGGGTCGCCTTTTATGGACAAGGCCCCGGGTTCAATCCTCCATAACATCCACATACACAGAGTAGTAATAATAATTAATAATGGAAGGAACTGCCTGACAACATAAAAGATATGTAATCTGATTGTTCAGGAAGATTAAAATTCAAAAGCCAGGCTGGGCCACATAAAAGACTCTGCCTTTAAAAAGACAATTCCAAACACTCAATAACTGATAACTTGGGTTAGGATACAGCTCCATAGTAGGGAACTTGCCTAGCACATGTGAGACTCTGGATTCCACACCCAGTACCCCAAGCACAAAGGACAGTGAAAAAGAAAATCACCTAAAAAGCACTTAAAATTGAGTCAATGTCTAACTTGAAATAATCCTAGGAAAGCAAAGCCCTCTCCCCAAAGAGGGAGGAAGCTGTCACCCTGGCATACTTGCTGCATTTGTAGGAGTTTTCTCCATCCAGTTGTTCCGGCTTCACAAACTGCTCTAATGCCTTGGTAACACTCTGAGCAGCCTAGGAAAGGGCATAAACATCATGTCACTATGCACACTGCCAGGGGTTGAGATAGATAGACAAATGCACACACATATACTCCTACCCTTTGGGTAGAAAAGCAACAGGAAATGTTTATGTAATTTTATGTTACTGTTCATAATGTATCTACTTTTATACATCTACACAAGAAATTATACCCTACCCCCCACTTTAAAGACAAGCAGATTAAACAGAACAAAAGTAGATTGCAGTTTGACTTACACTAGCATAAAAATAAAACCAACAAGAACCAGGCATGTAAACTATGGAATATCTTTACTAGACCCACTATAAAATTGCCTAGAGAACAATACTTCCAAGCAGAATCAAATGAAAACAGCAGACAGGCTAAGGCATAATCATAAACCTATCTTCATAAACAGGAAGCAATTTTGGGCTTGAGAGATGGTTCAAAGGTTAAGAGTGCTTGCTGCTCTTCCAAAGACCCAGAGTTCAGTTCCCAGCACCCACAGGCTGCTCGCATCATCTATAACTCCAGCTCCAGGGATCCAATGCCCCATTCTAGCCTCTGCAGGAACACACACACACACAACACATACTCACAGATACACAGACACTGAAGTTTCTAAATCTTTTTTAAAAAGCAAGCAAGCTATTGTGGAGCAGTATAGATCACACCACTCAAGAATGATTCTGAGAAACAGGTTTTGCATTTCTATACAATATTTCTCCTTTGTTTAAATAAGCACAGAACTGCATCTGTAATCAGAAAAACAAAGGTTCCAAACAACAAAAAACAAGACTGTGAAAAGTTCAATGAGCTAAAATTTCTAAGAACAACCACCATCGATGTTTGAATGATATGAACATTCATAAAAAGTCCAAGGCTACGAAAGGATGTTAACTACCGTTAACTGCTAAACTCACCTTAATCTCCAACGTTATGTCCAGATATGGATCAAAGGTATCTGAAACACCCTTGCAATTTAAACATTTAACTGAAATGAAAGAAAATATGAACAGTAAGTTCTTGCCTTACCAACTACTGAAAGGACAGAATACATTTCAAAATAAAGAATGTAAAGATACAACTTTTATTACAGTGAGCGAAAAGCCTGTAAGTAAATCCTACACACTGTGGGTAGAAGTGCCATAAACTTAGCCCCTATAAGCCACTGGCTGAAATACAAAGTTCTATAACCTCTAGATACCTTATGATCCAGAAATTAGAAGACTTCACCCTGCACAAGCGTTTGCACACATGAAGGTATCTGATTATGAATGCTCTATAGTGCACGGATACTAATACCATCAAAACAGAAACCCATTTATTCCTCAACAGGAAATGAGATTGAATTCTAACTTCAACTGGAAGCTTTCTAGCAGTAAGAGAAATATGAAGAGCTTATGCACAGTATGCTCCCAGTTTGTCTGTGCATAAGCACGTACCAGAAGAATATACTAGAAGCAAAGGTCTGAGCAGACCTGAAATCTACTTTTCATTATTATTCCACCCCTACTGTTTGCATTTTAAAACCCTAAGTGTGTATGTTATGATGAACTTTCAAACAAAGTTTACCTCGAGATCTTAGGTAGCCTCCAAATATCTGGCAGACCAGGGTGGTAGCTTGGGTGTGTCTGTCTAATCTGAAAAACATCCAGATAGTGACATGAGAGGAGAGCTCGGCAAGTACTGTGGCCGGATTCTAAAAGCATCTGTTTATAAAGGAACAAGAATTCAGAGGAGAGTCACAAACAATGATGTCAGCATGTGTGGCAGCTGGAGATCAGCCCACTGGGAAGCCTTAAGAGGAGGGAAGGACCTGTTAGGACGGAACTTGAGGCAGAGAACTGAGAAGACGCTCTCTGCAGAGCTGTGCTGCTTTCCTTGCTGAGGCCTGGCAAGGGGAGCTGAAGGCAGAGCACCTTCCTCTGCTCAGCAAAATGGTCACTCAGACCCATCCTTGAGACTTGAGATAGTGAGAGCACAGAGGGACATGTGCAGGTATCTGCAACCACAAAGGTGGGTTGTGACCTTTCATTCTAGTCTTCCTGGATCTGCATTGGGTTTTAAAAAGCTACAGAACTGATACCCGAAGAGGGTGGGGGGGGGGGGGATTTCAGAGTCTGGAGATGAACAAGGAAAGCATCAGGCATGACTAAAGAGGAAAAGCAGCTAGATTCAGACCTGGAAACTAAACAGCAGCAAGACTGTTGCCCAGCATGTAGGATCAACAAATCCGAATGGGTACAGTAAGTCCATTTCCTTACAGTTCAGTCATTTTAAAAGACTGCAGATCAGGGGAAGGTACAGCAGACAGATCTTGTGCCTTCGAGGAGACAGGCTGAGAGCATGGCCTGACGAAGCAGCGCTGACTCTGCTCACTTACTTGTTGCTGCCATTTAAACAGGCTTTCTGCATGGCATCAACTGTGTACTGAAGAAATTCATGGGCGTCTTCTTGGTTTCCAAAACGGAAGTGTCTAGCTATACCTATAAGATTTGAAGAAAGACAAGGCCTTATTATTAGATACCCTGTGCCATGGTGACACCCTTAAAAGCTACAGCTTGAACTATGTGCCTGGAAAAATCCCTGAATGACTTGTTTTTTGAGACTGAGTCTTATGGATCTCAGGTGGGCCTTAAACTCCCCATATAATTGAAGATGACCCTGAACTACTGATCCTCCTGACTTCAGTTTCTAAGTATTGGGATCATAAGTATTTGCATCACCACACCCAGATCACCTCTTATTTTCAACAGCTTTTTAGGCAAAGGGATAACCATATACCTAATTACCCAGCTACAACCTTGAATGAGTTTTGTATTCATTTTTATTACAACTTGGCTACTTAAAATGATAAAAAGATATAGCACAAAAAGCACATTGATAAGCTAGGAGTGATGGCACATGCCTATGCTTTAGTACTTGGGATATGGAAATCAGGAGTTCAGAGCCATCCTTGGCTACACAGCAAGTTCAAGGCTAGGCTGGGACCCTGTCTCAAAAAGCATGAAGTGTGTAAGAAAACTGCATACAAGCTCTGAACAGTGTTGTACACCTGCATCCTCAGCATTTGGGAGGATGATACAGGAGGAGTGCCATCGGTTTGGGGCTAGCCTGGGCTACAGCATGAGCCTTTATCTCAAAATACGAAAAGGAGGCAATGTGGATGATAACAAATAACTAGACATGGAATACTGACATGAGCTACTGCAGTTGAAACTTACGCCGCATTTCATTGATGACGAACATGGGCTTGATAACGTCCCCAGGGTTGCTGAGTGCCTGGGTAATATGTGTTTGCATTATGCACATCATACAAAATCCTTCTGCGTGGCCTGCAAGATAATAAGAATCCAAATGGGCAAAATGTGACAATATGCAACAGGAAGATAGACCAGAACTGAGTGGCAGATGCCCAGGATGCAGCAACAGTGCCAGCTCCCATGTGCATGCCCTGAGCTTGCTGCTATCATTAGTTTTCATTTCATTACTCTAGGAAGCCTGAGTGATTGGTCTATACTGACTGTTTTAAGGACAAGAGAAGAAATGTGCCCAAAGTCAGATCTCTATTAAGCAGCAGAAGTGCAAGACAAAGGTTCTGGCTGTTTAGTGGAAGAAGGCTACTCTCTAAGCACAAAAATGTGAACAACTACAGCAGCAGAGACCTGTGCAGCACAGTGGCAGATGCTTAGCATGTGTGAGGCCGAGTTCAATCTCCAGCACATCACAGAAATTAACTAAAAAGGGATTAAAAGTAGGAAATGTCTAGAAGAAAACAGTAAAAATATCTCTGACCTCAGACTAGGTAAAGAATTTTACATCATATTTATTGTGTTTGTATGTGTTTGGACACACATGCCAGTGTGTGGAAGGCAGAGGACCATTTGTGGGAGTTGGTTCTTTCCTTCCACAACATGAGTCTCAGGTATTAAATTCAGGCTGTCAGGCCTGGTGGCAAGCAACCTGACCCTGATCATCCAGCTGCCAGCTCAAGACTTCTTAACAGAACATTTTAGATATAACTGATAAAAAATAAAAAGTAATGCACACAAATTCGGACAATAAAAAATAAACTTTCCAAAATACACTGAGATGAAAAGACACCTGTGAGTGAAAACATTTACAAGTCTCAATCTAACATTTCCAAAATATTAAAAAAAAAAACAAAACCCTCAAAATTCAACAACTGTAAAACTAGCTTGTTTACAGACAGGCAGGATTTAAAAGGTGAGGGGGAGCCGAAGATGTAAGCTCATGACAGACTGCTTGCCTAGCATGCATGAAGCCCTATGCTCCAACCCCAGCACTCCATAAACAGGACATGGTGGTGCACACCTGGAATCTTAGCACTCAGGAGGAGGCAGGAGGATCACAAGTTCAAGGACATCCTCTACTAGTAGTACAGCCTGTGTGGGCTTGCCTGGGCTAGGAGATCCTGTCTCAAGAAAAAAAAAAAAAAGATTTGAATAGGTATTTCATTTCAGAAAAGTAAGTATCCAGAGTTCGATTCCCCAGAAGATGTTTAACATCATTACTAATTAGGGAAGTACAAACAAAAGTCCCAACAATCAGAGAGACTACTAAATGTCCCTGATGGTGAATGGTCATGATGGTGAAGACTGGGGCTGAGGGTACAGCTGAGTGATAAAGCATTTGCCTAGCAAGCATGAGACCCTAGGTTCAAGCCCCAATACCAAAAAAAAAGAGGCCTGTTCACACCGTGTTAGAAAATGTATGGTGCAAACAGAACCTTCATCCCTGCTGGTCAGGACTTAAATATCATAATCCCTTTGGAAACAGTTCTGTACTGTTTAAAAGTTATGTGCCCAACATAGGATGAAGCCATTTCATTCTTACTCAAGAAATATAAAATACTTATTTTATAAAGACTGGCAAATATTTGCACCAGCTTAAATTTTTGTTGTTGTTGTTTATTTATTGGAGACAGGGTCCCAGGTAGACCAGACTGGCTGGAACTCACTTTGTAGTAGAGGATGACCTTGAACTCCTGGTCCTCCTTCCTCCACCTCCCAAGTGTGGAGCAGTGTAATTCGTGATGGCTCAAAACAGGTTAATAGCCAACCAAATAGTGGTATGCTTATTTATGGAATACTACTCAGCAATAAAAACAAACCACTGATACATGCAACCAACAGAATAACGTTGAATTAATTATGCCAAGTCAGGCAAAATAAAATACATACTTTATAACTCCATATATGCGACATCTTAGAAAAAAACCCAAACTCATCTGCTGTGAAAGGGCATATCAGGAGTTGCCCAGGGTAGAGGAAGGGAGCAGGTGCAGCAGGGAAATGGGCAGAGTAGAGGAGCCCTAGGAAACCTTAGGATAGGATGAAGGCAAATGTGGTCACAATCTCACAATTAACCTGTGAATCTGAAGTATGTGATTTACTGTATATCAATCACACCTCAAAAAAGCTGTGGAGAGGGATGGGGACAGTAGTCAAAACCCCTGAACTGAATGATTTCATTTCAAATTTCACTAATCAACTCTGAGCTGGGCTTCTACTGAGTTAAAAGAAATCTAAAACCAAGAATGCCAGCTCACACCTCTAACCCCAGCACTTGGAAGGCTGAGGAGGATGTCTGCCTTGATTTTAAGGCTGGCAGAGCTACACAGTGAGACACCCCAACCCCCCAAAAACTAGGGGGGTTTGAAATGTCAAATGTCAAAAATAAACTTCTTTTAAAATATTTTACAGATCAAATTAGGTGTGAAATGCTCCTTATGCAACCCAAACACTAACCCTGAGTCGTCCCCCACCCCCACCCCCACATCCCACCTTCATCCCGGTTTCTAAATCAGCAAACCAACTTCCCAGTAATCATAACTTGGTTTCTGGGTTTGTTTTGTTGTTGTTGTTACAGGCTGAGGATTAAACCAATGCCCTGGTGCATGCTAAGTGAACACACTACCACTGAGCAAAATACCATGCCCATGGCCATGTAACTTCACTAAATACTTCATGTTCAAGACAGCATCAAGGAAGCAAACCACAGCACTGAAAACATGCATACAAGAGTACACAGCACTCACATGTCTTGGAGTGTTCATGGGATAACATGTAATTGGCGAGGGGTGGTGTGTAGGTCAGACACTGCAATGCAGCATTGGCAAAACAGGTATTGCCCAAATTCTGGAGCCCAGCGCCAACTCGATGAGTTTGCTGCCACTTAAGACAAATCTTTTCAGATGGAAATAGAACCTTTTGAGGAGGAGCAATGCCATCACCTAGGACTTAAAAAAAAGAGAGAACAAAAAATTAAAAACAAAGCTTTGCACATTTCACAAGCAAAACACACAGCAATGCCTGGATCTGATCAAGCTCCTCTACCTCATTCTCAACCTGCCACAAACACCGAGGAGACAGCCACACTGAAGTCCAGAGTCTGAGGTGAGATCAACTCCTCTCATCGGGCTTCTTCAATCATTTTCAAACACAAGGGATGGATACAAATGAAAGGATCTTAGAGATATAAATTCACTTAATGTGTAGATTTCATTTAAACTAATTAAAAACAATACTGACTGGATTTATTTGTACTTATGTGTGTCTGTTCCCACATGTGGGCACATACAAGCACTGGTTCCCATGAAGGCCACAAGAGGGTGTAAGACCCCCTGGGCTTGAAGTCACAAATAGTGACTCACTTAACAGTGGTGCTAGGAAGTGAACTAGGGTCCTCTGCAAGAAGGACCAGCACATTTAACTGCTGAACCATCTCTCCAGTCCCAGACATTTTTTATTTTTGTGAAAGAATTCTCTAAGATGTACATACTAAAATTCTTATAGACAATGTGGCATATTAGACTTGTTCAAAATACCAGGGAAAGACAAGGTGTGTGTGCCTACTAAGTACAACTCCCCAGGCACATGTGCTTATACACACACACACACACACACACACACACACAGGAGAAGGGGTCAGTGGGTGGAGTACAGCTAAGTGGCCATGTCAAAATTGACTGATGGCTATGTGAGCGTTCACTAGAATTCTATCTATTTTCTCATACTTTTTCATAAAAAGGGTCTGGGATTGTAGCTCAGTTAATAGAATGCTTCCCTAGAAGGCACAGAAAGTCCTGCGTTTAACCCCCAGCCCTGCTTGCCATCCCAGCATTCGGGGGTAGAGATGAGAGAATCAGGAAGACAAGAGAATCAAGGCCAGCTTTGGCCACATAATGAGTTTGAGGCCAAGATAAAAGTTTATCCTTCAATAAATTGGGAATTTAAAAAAAAAACATCCATATCCTGAGAACTAAAACTCAATCTACCCTCCTATGTGTGACACATGTTCGTAGTGGGTGTGGGGGGATGAAGAATGAGTGCTCATTAGAAGAAAATGAGACAGTGGCAGACTTGAAAAGCACTGCCCTCCGAAGCATATGCACAGGAGCTCAGGCAGCAATTCTGCAATCATACCTTGGTCCTTTGGTGGCGATGGTTTTGATTTATCGGGTACAGATGAATTAGAATAAACTACAGCACCAGGCACTGGCCCTAATGAAAGTGTATGATTTGAAACATCACTTATTGAAGACACGGCACCCCAGGTGCCAGAGCCTGTGTCCATGTCTTCAGGTGAGACCGCCTCAGAACTGCCAGGCTGGTTCTGACAGGATGATGGGTCTGAAGGTTCCGTTTTGTCAACTATGGTCATTTTTCAACCCTGCAAAAGACAAAAAGTATGTTTGTCAAAGGGTGAGAAGAGCAGTCTACTTCGCCAGCCTGGAAATTTCTGTCTAGCCACTTAACACTATCTTCAAACAAATCACCCAAACATAAAACATTAGTGGGGGTAGAGATGTAGCTCAGCTGGTAAAGGTCTTGCCTAGCATCCATGAAGCCTGGGTTCCATCTCCCATATTTCATAAACTAAACTGGCATAGTGGTGCATGCCGGTAATCCCAGCATTGGAGAGGTGCAGGCAGGGGATCAAGAGTTCAATACAAGACCCTGTCTCAAAAGCAGCAGCACCAACAACAAAAAACGTGTATCCTATACCATATCCCCCAAATCATCTTTCAGTTTATAATTAGGCACCTCAATTCACAATTATATATTTAACTAAGAACATTTTTTTTCATCTCTACTGCTTTAAGCTAGGAACATTCCACACTTTTAATATACTTGACTACATTTTCAATTCATATACCATTTCTCAGGGCAAAATCTTAATTACATAAAGAGAATATGTAGCTTTGATTTTTTTTCCCCCCGGGACAGAGTGTCTCCATATAGTTTTGGTGCCTGTCCTGGATCTCGCTCTGTAGACCAGGCTGGCCTTGAACTCACAGAGATCCACCTGGCTCTGCCTCCTGAGTACTGGGATTAAAGGTTTGTGCCACCACTGCCCGGCCTAGCTTTGATTTTTAACTCAAAGTCTAAAATACCATTGTATGAAATTTGAAGTTTTGAAAAATTATAGCTACAAAAAAGTCTTATCAATGAAATGTATTTTCCTGAAGTCTACATATATGGATTTATAACTTTTAAAATGAAACCTGTGATTTTACTAACATCAAACTTTGAACACAAATGTGTGTATTGAATTCTCTATGAATCTTATTTTCAAATCTACTAATTGAGCTTTTTCTATGTGCTGGGCATCATATTAATTGCTGAATATATATTAACTTGCTAAATTTTCATGATGAACCTTCAATCAGTCAAAATCTGCAAGGTTTACAGAATGAAGCAGTAATAGCAACTCAAACTAGTCAGTGGCTGGGACAGAGAGCCAAGGCCAAGGCCGAGCAACTCGGCTGGGCTGTTGCTTGTCCAACCACTGTACCACCTAGTCAACACAGTGCTTTTAAGAATCTACATGTCACACCCTGAAGAAAACCTTTTAGGAGTGTTCCACTGACCTCCCTATGGCTCTTCCCAGTATCTGATCTTGGCACACTTTGGTCTCTGGAACGTTCCCACCATAGGGTCCATTTTTAGTCCCCATTCTCACTGAGCTCCTGCAAGCTATTATCTTCCAGCTTTCTACTTCTGGCCAGTTAACACTTTCAATCCTCAGGTTTAGAATTCACTCACTCCTCTAGGATGTTTCCCCTGACAATTCCTTTCATCCCAAGACTGTATTAGAAACCCACCCTAGAGTGTTTCCTTGACAACACTTTTCACCCCAAGACTGGGTCAGAAACCCATCCTAAAAACTGCCCTCTGCTGATATCTACAGTAGCATGCAGTAAAAACTTACTCCACCCTACCTGGCATGGGGAAAGCTTTCCAAACATGTGTTCTACAAATGAATGGAATCATGAAAACAGGAAGGAACTAGTGTTTGCTTTGAGCACCGGCTTGTGCTGAGTGATTTTACAAGGCATCTCATTTAGTCCTTTAAAAACTCTGAACTAAGCCGGGCGGTGGTGGCGCACGCCTTTAATCCCAGCACTCGGGAGGCAGAGCCAGGCGGATCTCTGTGAGTTCGAGGCCAGCCTGGGCTACCAAGTGAGTTCCAGGAAAGGCGCAAAGCTACACAGAGAAACCCTGTCTCGAAAAACCAAAAAAAAAAAAAAAAAACTCTGAACTAAGGAAGCACCTCTAAAATCTGGCCTTTAGATATTCACTACTGTAAAGTACAAACGGTAATAAAATCCTCACGTACTTGCCACTTCAGTGAACAGTGTCACCATGTGCTTGCTGTTCACAATATAAGGTTGTTTCTTAAAAGCTTCAACCTTCTTGTTTACAATTTTTAATTAAAGGGAAGTACAATGTGAAGAGTTATATAAAAATAGAAAGTCAATTATATCTGATTTGAATATTTAATCAAGTAAAGATAAATGACCTTCATTCACAAGAAAGATTGAACCTATTATCCAAGTAAAGTTTACACTTTTCTCATCCTACAGGCAAAAGAAATAAAAAGTGTATTGATGAAAGAAAGAAAAACAAGAAACAGGAGGGAGAGTTAGTTAAAGGAAGAAAGCCAAAATTGAGCAATAAGGAAAGGTTAATCTACCCTTAGTTAAAATAACATTAATGACAGTAAAACCCGATTTTCCTGGGATAAGCAACCTTTCCAGACAATGATTAACAACCAACCAAATAAAACATCACTATTCTAGGAAAGGTGGGGTGGCAGGCTTAAAAGAAAAAATATTAAGGAAAACACAATTCTAGTCATCAATAAGTATGTTATTGTTTGATTCTGGCAAGACTAACCAAATCCATTCATCATTCTTCATTTAGATATTCAGCCAATGAAATCTTACCCTAAAACTATCAGGTATCAAACTAAACTCTGCCTCTTATAGAGATAACCTTTCTTAAAACCCAACTATACTGTGTTAAGACAGGATTCATGTGGCTCCTGTACTTTATTCTTACTAAAGCTTCTGAAGGTTAGTGTTCAAAACAGGACTGTGAAAGTAGTAACTACTTAATGAAAGTTGAGCATTCCCCTAACACCCTCTCATGACATACAAAGTGACAAGAGACCATTTCAAAAGACTCCAGCAACCTGAACAGGGACCAAAGTTGGATAAATGAGCAGGACTGAGAACTTTTACTTGGTTATGTCTCTTTTATGGGGAGTAAATGCTAGGCTATGTTAATCTTTTTCATTTTAAAAAACAATTATCACTAAACATTGTGTCACTCCACATACACTGAAGGAATAGTCAACACACACAAAAAAACTTCATTATACACGACTTCTTCATAAACAATGTATTATATTGTTTACAAGTTCTTGTAACATTTCCATTTTAAGAAACTTTAAAAAGATGCCATTTGAATTTTATATTAGGTAAATATTATATTTATATTAATATTATATTTAAGTAAACGGAATGATTAGTCTTAAACCTCTGCAAACCAAATACTTACTGTAGTCTTGATTCAATGATTACAGAAAAGAAAGTGAAACTGTCCCTAAGTAAAAACAAGTGTAACTGATTATTCACAGACCTATGCACCTGAATGAGTGACATGTTAAAAGCAAATGTCTAAAATGCACCCTTTGAAGAAAACGTTAGCCTCCATAGACAGCTATAAGAACCTGCATCGGGTTGTTACTTTGTAAAAGGGGCGTTAACTAGTTTCTCAACACTTTCTGTCACTTGAGTGTATTTACTTGAAAGAACCACAAACAAGCAAGCCCTAAGGCCTTCAAATATAAAAGAGCTATTCAACAAAAGTAATCTCAACTGTATTCATTCTAGGGAGGTTAAAGTCCTAGATTGTAAAACTTTGGTCCCGTCAAATTTTCATTTCAAACATCTGAACCCGATCCCTCCCACCCGCCTTTCCCCCCAGGTAAGTTGGTTCTTCCTGCCCCAAAGATAAAGAACGTGAGGGAGGAAGGCACACTTGCTTTTTTTGGAGGGGAATGAGCTACGGGGCTCCTCCCCCCAACACCCCCAGCCGCCCGCCTCTCCTTCGGGTGCCTGCTCCGGCGTGGGCAACTCGGGCATTCTGCGGAGAAGCCGAGTGGACCGCGCCCGGGTGGCAAAGTTTGTCTGGGGTGGGGGCGGGGGTGGGGGCGGGGAGGCCAGCCCCGAGCTCCGAGGGGCCCGAGGTGGCTCCTGAGGCCGGGGGTGGCAGTCACGCGGGGGGCGGCGGGCGGGCCCCGGACGCCGGCTACACTGTCCCGGCGTGCACACGCCCACCCCGGCAGCTCCAAACGCGCCGGGCGGCCCGGGAGCAGCCGGCTGCAGCGCGGCCCGGCCCGCTGGCCGAGGGGGCGGGCTGGGGCCCGTGGGGGTGGGAGCGCGGTGGCCATGGCAACCATGGGGGTCCGGCCCTCCCCGTGCAGCCCCAGCGCTGCCTTCGCTGCGAGCCCTCCCGCCCGCGGTGGCCGCCGCCTCCTGCTCCGCGGGCCTGACTCGGCCGGGCGGCAGCAGCGCCGGTCCCGCAGCCGTGGGGTCCCCGGGCCGCCCGGTGCCTGGAGAGGGGGCGGCGGGCGAGGGGCCGCGCCAGTACCGGCGGGCCGCGGCCGGCTGAGGGTGGCGGGGCGACTGAGGCCGCGAAGGCAGGACACGCGGCCGGGCCCCACGCCAGCCTGCAGCGGGCGGGAAGGAGGCGGGAGCTTACCTGACCCGGCTCGGCACTCGCTCCATCCCCCTCGGCCGCCGCCGCCGCCGCCGCCGCCGCCGCCGCACACAGCCCAGCCGCCCGGCGGGGGACAATGACGTGCCTCCATCCGGGCACCGCCGCCGCCGCCTCCGGGTCAGCGCCGCACCCGCAGCTCGCCGGCCGGGCCGCCAGGGGGCGCGCCAGGGCCGCGCCCGCACGCGCCGCCGCCACGGCCTCCGCCGCCCAGGGGCCGTCGCGCAAGAGGCGCGGCGCGCAGCTAACGGGCCCGGCAAGCGCGGGAGGGGCCGTCGCCCAAGGGCGGCGGGGCGCGGGCTGGCCTCGCGCGTCAGCTAAGCGCCGGGCGCCGCCGGAGAGGACACACTGATTGGTCCGACGCGCTGATTGGCGGGGCGCACTGATTGGCTGGGCGTCCGGCAGCAGGGCGGGGAGGGGCCGCTTCCGTCCAGAGTTCCCGGAGCTGCCCCAGCTGGGGCCCTCAAGCAAGGGTACACCTGAGCTTCCCATCCGCGGAGACCGGTGCCTCTCCTGCGCTTGGCCTTACGGACGGCGACGGGGACCCTGGGATCCGCGATCTCTGGCTTTTAGGCCCACGGGCCATCACCGCGACGGAGGCTCCGCTGTTCACCCTACGGAGCCCGGCTGCGCAAAGGGACAGCTCTTGCATTGCACCCCGTCGACATTGCACTTCAAGCCTTAGCCCTGCAGTGTTTGGGGCAACTGGGTGGGCTCTTGCGCCCCAGGCTGCTTATTGTCATTTCCTGGATCTCGAGGCTGGACAAGAGTAGTACATCCTTGCATCCTGTCCTCTGCAGCTCCTGCCTGTGGTGTCCATTTAGGACGCAGCCCTGAAGTGCACTCACTGCTGACCGGAGTTTTTCACCCCTTACACTCTACTGACCCAGGGAGCTGCGGTCCTGACTAACCACCCCCTTGTCTCCTCTCTCGCTAAGCCTGGTCTAACTGGCTCCCCTGGCACTCCAATCTGGTTTCACTTTACTATTGTGGACAGTTTTTTTGTTTTGTTTTAAAACAGATCAAAGCATATCATTTCCCCTCTTTCAGAGCCTTCCTTGGGCCAGAGAAGAAGCTAAACTTCTCAGCTTGGGCATTAAAAGTCCCATGGTTCCCAGTACAGGTGAGTCTGAGGCAGGAGGATCACAAGTTTGAAGGCAGCCTGTGCTACATAGTGATATCCAGTCTTAAAACAACAATTTCCATGTTCCAGCCACAGCCCGCTCTGCTAACCCCACCCTAACCCTGGCCCTTCTGATTACTATATTTGTAGATAGGAAGCCTATATCTACTCATTCTACCAATTTTATTACTGTCTCTGTAGGTTGGCTATAAAATTTCTGTTGTGAGCCAGGCGGTGATGGCTCATGCCTTTAATCCCAGCACTCAGGAGGCAAAGGCAGGCAGATCTCTGTGAGTTCGAGGCCAGCCTGGTCTACATAGTGAGATCCAGGACAGGCTCCAAAGCTACACAGAGAAACCCTGTCCCCGCCCCAAAAAAAGAATTGTTGTGTATTTGGAGCAAAAAAGCTGAAAGGGAATCCCAGTTGCTCAGATTTCAGTTCTCCTGTCAAGATTAACACCACAACATTCTTCTTTACAAAGAAAGATATTGGAATTTCACCATTGTAGACCTTTTTAACATTAAGAGATTTGCAAAAGGTGAGTTTGCTCATGTCTGTAATCCTGGAACTCAGGGGCCATGAGTTGAAGCCAGCCTAGACTACATACAGATTGAGATCTTGCCTCAAATTAATATATAATATGTATGTAATAATATAATAAATATATTTAAATATATATGTATATATATTTTTAAAAACTAAGTGTGATGGTGCATGTCTGTAATCCAGTTCAACCAAGGCTATGTAGTGAGACCCTGTCTCAAAGAAAACAACAGATTTGATAGAATAGAACTGACATCAGTGGGCTCAGTACTTTGCCTTTTCCAAGGATCTTTCAGGGGACTAAATCCAAATACTAAGGAACTGAGGAACTAAATTGTTGCTCTTCAACCTAGCTTTTCAGTGTTTCAAAATGCTTCCCTTTGAAGTCACAGAAGTGCACGCTCTCTTTCTTTCCCTCCTTCCTTCCCTCCTTCCTTCCCTCCCTCCCTCCCTCTTCTTTCTATTGGGGTTTATTAGGAAAGGGAGAGTTTGGTATTTGTTTTTAGAGGCAGGGTCTCATTCTATAAACTGGGCTTAAACTCAACAGTTTCCACCTCAATCTGCAAGTGCTGGGCTTAAGAATTTAATTGAGGCCGGGCGGTGGTGGCGCACGCCTTTAATCCCAGCACTCGGGAGGCAGAGCCAGGCGGATCTCTGTGAGTTCGAGGCCAGCCTGGGCTACCAAGTGAGTTCCAGGAAAGGCGCAAAGCTACACAGAGAAACCCTGTCTCGAAAAACCAAAAAAAAAAAGAATTTAATTGAGGGAAGAGCAAGAGAGACTTGCCTCTAATTTCATTTTACACAAAGTTTGATGTCCCTTCATTCTGATCACCTTAGCAATTTGAGTAGGAAAACTTTTTCATGTGTGTGTGTGTGTGTGTGTGTGTGTGTGTGTGTGTGTGTGTGTGTAGACCAGAGGTCAACATCAGGTGTTTTTTTTTTTTTCAACTGCTCCCATATTTGTGTAGTATGTATGTATGCACCCATTTGTATGTGGAGTATTTGCAGGTACATGCACATTTGGAAGCCAATTGTTGACTGTGGAATTCTTCCCCTTTTTTTTGAGTCTCTCACTGAACCAAGAGCTTGGCTAGATGGCATCCATCAAGCCCCTGAGAGCCACATGTCCTGTGTCATCTGTGTTGTGCCCTCTCCCCACTTCCTGGCACTGTGAGGACACTCCAGCAGCTGCAGAAGACACTGCTACTGTGGCTGAAACACTGTTCCAGCTGTGACCACTTCAGGTTGCCTGCACTGGCCTTGGAAAGCAGCACTCCTAAAGCAAGACAGAACTGAGTGAATTCTAGAAGTTCCTACTGCCTGCCATCTCACCCAGCTAAGAGAATTGCTTCCATGTAATTCTTGCCATATGCATCACTCCTGGCTATATGAATAGGCCTTTTTTGAGAAAGGGTATCATGTAGTCCTAACTGGCCCCAAACTGGCTATGTAGCTGACCCTGAACCAACCTCGGGAGAACTGAGATTACTAGGCTGCACCATCATGGCTGGCATCAATGTGTGTGTGTGTGTGTGTGTGTGTGTGTGTGTGTGTGTGTGTGTGTGTGTGTGTTGGCACATGTATGTGATGGGGGCATGCACATATGTGTGTGTGCATGTGCATGCCAGAGAACTTTAGGCATCACTAGTCAGATGCCATTGACATTTTTTGAGACAGTGACTTTCACTGGCCAGGAACATGCCATGAAGGCTAGACTGGCAGGCCAGAAAGGCACAGAGACCTGCCGGATTTCACCACCCCAGACCTAGGACAAGCCCGCCTTAGCACACCTGGCAGGTTCACATGAGTTCGGACCATCTATCTCAGGTCTTTATGCTTGGAAGACCTTTACTGAAGGCTCCATGGCATTCCAGTGAAACCGCTCAGCAGGAAGAGTGCTTGCTGCCAAGCCTCAGCACCTGAGTTCGATTCCTGGGACCAACATAGTGGGAAGAGAGAAGTAATTTCAAGTTTCCTGTGGTCTCCACTGTAAGCATGCCACATGTGGAAGCCCCTAACACTCAGTAAAGGACCTATCTCCCACACCCACTGTTAGATTTGTTGGGACAGGGTCTCACGTTGTGGCCCAGACTAGCTAAGAACTCAAAGAAACCCTCCTACCCAGCCCCATGAGCGCGGGGCTTACAAGCAGGAAGTGCTAGATGTTACTTACACTTTGTATCTTACGATGTTTGACATCACCCAAAGCTTGCAGATTTGGGGAGACTCCCCCTCCTACAGTAGCTGACCATGTTGAAAAACAGTGTGTGTGCCAGGAGGACATCTTTCATTCACAAAGAAAACCAGCTAAGGCTCTGGTCACAAAGACCTCCTTGTTTAGGAAGCTCACTCTCAAGTGTGTGCTTTGCCTCCACGATGTCAGGGAAAACAAGCAATAGGCAACCACTTCTTCCCTAAAATCCACCAAAATCATTACAGTTGGCCAATGCCAACATGCCTAACTTTTCCTGAGTTACTTTTCATCAAAAATGCCAATAAAGATTCTTCCTCGGGCTCTCCCTTAATTCCACTTCTGTTATTGTTGTTGACAGTCCAGACTAGTCCTGGAGTACCCGTTGTTTCCCAGGATTAATTCAAGCCTGGGCACCCTGAAGATTGGGATTACAGGTCCACACCACACACTGTTTTTTGTCCTCATTATGACACTTGATCCAGCCTGGGATCTGCCTGACCCTGCCTGGCATGGCTTAAGCCCCGCTCAGGTGGAGTTGCTGTCCTTCCAGAGCCCTGTCAGATTGGCTCCTGGGGCTGTAATGGCTTTGTCATCCCACCTCTGACACCAACATCCTTAATATTCTGCAGGTGTCTGGGAAGGGGGCAGTGGAGGTATAGGACAGCAGATAAACCAGGTGTCTAACTTACCTCAAGAATTAGAGGAAGTAAAGCAGGAGACTGGGGAGATCCAGCTGGTTGGAGGCCGGCTATAGATTTGACCCTGAGGTCTTGGGGTCTGCTGGTGTTGGACCTAAGAGCTGACCTCACCAACGAGTCTCCTAGAAGCAAAGATGTGGTCTTGTCATTAAGAAGGATGGCTCAGCAGGTAAATGCCATTGCCCCTAAGTCTGATGACCTGAATTTCATCCTTAGGACCAACACAGTGAGAGGAGAGAACTGCTGTAAGCTGTCTGCTAACCTCCAAGCATGTGGGTGTACAAACACACACAGTAAATGTAATACAAACATTTTTAAAGGAAAGATACTAGGCCTATGGAATAAGCTTAGAAGGTAGAGTGATTCCCTAGGATGCAGGAGCCATGGGTTCCCTCCCCAGTAACAAAGGGCAAACGATTGCCCGGGCCTATACTAGCATTTCTGAAGGTAGAAAGCAACTATTTCAGGAGTTCAATGTCATTGTGAGCAACACAGTGAGTCCATGGCCATCCTACATGGTTACACGAGAACTCAAAACAGCATTAAAGGCTCTTCCTCAGAATCTCTGCCCTTTTGATTTTTTTTTTTTTTCAAGACAGGGTTTCTCTGTGTAGCTCTGGCTGTCCTGGATCTTACTCTGTAGACCAGGTTGTGCTCAAACTCACAGAGATCCACTTGCCTCTGCCTCCTAGTGCTGGGATTACAGGGGTGCACCACCACCATCTGGCTTGCCCATTCACTTTTAAGTATTCCTGAGTGTTTCTCTCTCCTCCTCTCTCCTCTCTCTCTCTCTCTCTCTCTCTCTCTCTCTCTCTCTCTCTCTCCTCTCTCTGTGGTGGGTGGAGGCAATACATGCCATTCTATGCACGTGGAGGCCAGTGGACAGCCTCTGGTGTTGTTCCTTACCTTTCATCTTTTAAAAAAGCAGATTTATTTTTATGTGTATGTATACAAGTGTACTGTGTGCATTTGTGGTGCCCATCGAGGCCAGAAGAGGGCACCAGATCATCTAGAACTGGAGTTACAGGTGGTTGTAAGCTGCCTTGTGGATGCTAGGAATTGAACCCAGGTCCTCTGGAAGAGCATTGAGTGTTCTTTACCACTGAATCATTTCTCTAGCCCCACCTTTCACTTTTTTTTTTTTTTAGGCAGAGTCTCTTCTTATCCACTGTGTATGCTAAGCTAACTGCTCCACAAGCTTCCTGATTGTTTCTTGTCTCTACCTGACTTCTCACCATGAGGAAAGCAGAGTGCTGGATTATCCCACCACCTCAGATTTGGCAAGAGTTCTTTGGAATAAAACTCAGGTCCTCATGCTTGTTGGGCATGATTTTTTACCCATAAATTCATCTTCCCAACTCTTCGAATTCCCCATTTTTGACAGTCCAGGCTAATCTGGATTATCCTATGTTTCCTAAACTGACTTCCAACTAGTAAATCTCCTGCCTGAGGCTGCAAAGTCTTGGAATTGCAGACCGATGATGTCACTTGCTGCTTTGGAGCTTCATTCTGGTCTATGCCAGTACAGCCAACCTGGGACCTCAGCTTGACCCTGTTCCTGGTATGGGGCAACTCCTTCTCTGGGTGGGATCTGTGACTGTCTGAGCATATTCCTAACAAGTCTCCTTCTGGTGCCCTCCTGTACTGTAAGGCATAAACCTAGATCCTTCTCTAACATCTATACCCTTAGTACTCAGCAGGTGTCTAGGAAAGGGGACATGGAGGTATGTGGGAGCCTATCAGCCAAGTGTCCAACTTACCTTAAGAAACAGAAGTAATGTAGGAAACGAGGACTTCTCCTCAACTGGGGAGGAGACTTGACCCCTAGGGTCAGAGGTCTTGGGACCTGGTGGCCTTGGTCGCTTATAGATTGACCTCACCAATAAGCCTCCTAGGAGCAAAGATGAAAGGTTGATATTAAGAAAGGATATTGAGAGTTTACAAGATGGCTCAGAAATAAGTGTTTGCTGCTAGACCAGACTACTCAGGTTTGATCTTCAGGATCTAGGTGGGTCTCCCATAGTGAAAGGGGGAATGAGTGCTCTCTGTCATCCCAAACTATATAGTACACACACACACACACACACACACACACACACACACACACACACACACACACACACAAGGGGGGGAGGTGGGAGAGAGCAATAAAACATCTTAACAGAAGAAATGATTTTTGTATTGTCAAATAAATTCACTGGGCAGAATACTAACACAGCATACAGGAAACCTTGAGTTCCCTCCTCTGAACAGCATAAAGGGCCCGAGGTAGGTTAGGCTTGAGATCTCAACATTCCCAAATGTGCAGGGCAAAAGCTGGGAATAGTGGCATACGCCTTTTATCCCAGCACTTGGGAGGCAGAAGCAGGCAGATCTCTGTGAGTTCCAGGCCAGCCTGGTCTATAGAGTGAGTGCCAGGCCAGCCTGGTCTACACAGTGAGGCCCTGTCTTAAAACAACAACAACAACAACAAAGCTGCAGGAACTGAGTTGGAATGTCAATGTCATAGAGACATGGTGACTGCTTGGCCATCACACATGGCTCCATGAGAAGAAGTGACATTCAGGTCTCTGTCACTGTTGTCATTTTTAGTGTCTGTGCGTGAGGTGAGTGAGGATGAAATGTATCATCCTCTGGTGTGCTCCTGGCCACACACGTGCTTTGAAACAGTGTTTCTTGTTCTCTGCATGCTGTAGTTCTCTGTAGTTGTCTAGGAAAGGGGCTAAGGGACCTAGGACAAAAGAAAAGCCAAGAGTCTAACTCACCTCAAAAAAATAGGGGGAGTAACTTGGGAGGCTTAGAGAGGGGAACTCCAATTGGTGGGGGTGGGGGTTGGCAGAGGACTTGACCCCAGGGGTCAGAGGCCCTGAAACCTGGTGATGTAGGGTCCCACTGGCTGGGAGCACCAGAGACAAAAGGTAGATGCATTGATTTAAGAAAAGCTGGCTAGAAACAAGCCAAGCTAAGGCCGGTCATTCATATGTAATAAGTCTCCATGTATGTTTTATTTGAGAGGTGGGTGGCAGGCCCCCAAAAGAGCAAAGAGTAAAGAGCAAAAACAACCAACAACAAGTGTGTGACGGGGAGACTTGTAACATGTAACATCTCCAACGGGCTGGGGCCGGCAGTGGACTTGACCTCTGTGTAATATGTGGTATGTGGAGGGCACAAGACATCCTCAGGTATTGATCCTCACTGTTTTTGATGGTCTCTTGTTCTCTGCTGCATATACAAGGCTAGCTTCCTGCTAGGCTTCCAGATAGTCTCTGATGTCTGCACGCATTCTGGTTAGAGGAGAATTGGGGTACTGACATCCACTCCCTGCCAGGCCTTTGTGTGTGTTCTTGGGACTCAACTCAGGTCTTCACACTTGTTCAACAACAATTTGATGCATTAATCCATCTTCCCTGCTCTCCCCATTTTTTGATTGTCCAGGCTAGCCTGGAACACACTTGTTTCCCAGGCTGGCCTCCACTGGTAAATCACCTGCCTGGGCCTTATGTTGGAATTATGTTGGCCCAAACCACCTCTTTTGGCATTTAATCTTGCGTTCTATTGCTTGATCCAAACTGGGACCCCTTATGATCCTTTGTGGCATGTAGAAATCCACTTTCAGAATGCTATCTGGGACTATACAACCACCTTCCTTCTGGGTCACCTTCATGTCATGTCCTGAGGATGTCTTTATCATCTTACTTCTGACATCTCCTTCCTCTAATACACTACAGGTGTCTAGGAAAGGTTAGGGGGCACAAACTGAGAAGATAATTCTACTATCTAACTCACCTCAAACAATAAGGGCATTAACTTGAGAGGCTTGGATAATTCTCCACCTGCAGGGGAGCTCCAAAAGGTAGGGTGTGAACAATGAATTTGACCCAGAGGGTCAGAGGTCCTGGGACCTGAAGACCTTGGTTCCCTCTGTCCAGGTACACCAACAAGCTTCCTAGGAGTAAAGATGTAGATTTGCTATTAAGAAAGCACATTAGGCCGGGCGGTGGTGGCGCACGCCTTTAATCCCAGCACTCGGGAGGCAGAGCCAGGCGGATCTCTGTGAGTTCGAGGCCAGTATGGGCTACCAAGTGAGTTCCAGGAGAGGCGCAAAGCTACACAGAGAAACCCTGTCTCGAAAAACCAAAAAAAAAAAAAAAAAAAAAAGAAAGCACATTAGTGGCTGGCAAGACGTCTCAGCAGATGAAAGCTCTCATGGGTCCCCAGCTTGACTATCTGAGTTTGATCTTCAAGATTCACATAGCAGAAGGAAAACACAGGCACACAGAGAATAATGAATTCAATAAAAAATGTTTTTAATTAAAGTGTGGGGGGAAAACTCAGCTGGTGGACTATTAACTTAGACTATACAAAGCAGCCAGGAGTCCTCTCCCCAACATTAAATACAGGGCACAAATTAGATTAGCATTCCTGAAAGTGGAGGGTCCTGGCTCTGGGATCAATGTCACTCTGGTGACATATTGAGACATTGACCATCCGACATGCTACATGAGACTAGGAAATGCCATTAAAAACTCTCCATAAGAATCTGAAGGGCGTGTGTGTGTGTGTGTGTGTGTGTGTGTGTGTGTGTGTGTGTGTGTGTGTGGTGAGGGTGATGTGCCATGGCACACATGTAGAAGACACACGTCATCCTCAGGTGTTAGTCTTCACTGTCCACTTTTTTTGAGGTAGAATCTCGATCTGTGTGGCACAGACAGGCTGCTTGCCTCACAAGACTCTAGATAGTGTCCTGTATTTCTGTCTGCCCCCTTCCCACAGGGGAGCTGGGAGTGCAGATGTGTGCTCTGCACTTGACTTTTCCATGTGTTCTTGAGACTCAAAGCCAGGTTCCCACTCGTTGGCAAGCACTTTGCCTGTGGTTTAACATCTCCCCAATGCTCCTCCTTCCTTCCCTCTGTTTGAGAATCTAGGCTACCACAGAACTTCCTGTTTTTCCTAAGCTGACCTCAACCACCTGCCCGAGTTATTCTTGTCTTCTGCCTCTTCATCCAACCTGAGATTTCCCTCTAACCCTGCCCTGTTTGAGTGAGAGCTGTCATTGTGTACTTCACAGGCCTCCTTCATGTCCACTCCTGTGGCTGTGACCTCTTTATCATCTCACCTCCAGTATCTGCATTCTTAACACACTGTTGGTTTCTAGGAAAGGCATTGAGAGGATATGGGATAGAAGATAAGCGGTGTGTCTAACGTACTTCAAGAAATAGGGAAGTAACTGGGGAGGCTTGGAGAATCCTCCTCCTGCAGGGGAGCTTCTCTTGGTGGGTGGCTGGCAGTGGACCTGACCTCAAGGGTCAGAGGTCCTGGGACCTGCTGACCTAGGTCCCTACTACTGGCTGGGCATACCAATGAGCCTCTTTGGGATGAAAATGTGAGATTATTATTGAGAAACATATCCCCAATAAGGAGAGTAAGATGGCTCAGAAGAGAAAGTCTTTTGCCACCAGTGCAACCACGTGAATGGATCAGCTGGGTCCCCGAGCCCCAGGTGGTGGCAGGAGAGAAAGGACAACTGAGAGTTGTTCTCACATCTACCCAGGTGAGTCCTGGTGTGTGCCTGGGTGCACACAGTCAATGTAATACAACACTGCTTTTAAGAAAGGAAAGGCTGTTGGGACTGGGGACACACTCAGCTGCATCAGTGCCAGCCTAGCCCAGCACTGACTGCATGGAGGGCACACAGTAGCTCAGACTTAACAATCCTAGCATCCCAAAGGTGAAAGCAGCTGGATCTGGAGTTCGAGGGTCATCATCTATGGCCACAGAGTGGGTTTTTGACCACCCTCCATGGCTAAGTGAGATGATGAAATGCCATTTAAAGGCTCTCCCTCAGAATCCATGTTCATTCTTTTTAACCTTAGTGTTTGTGTTAAGTCTGAGGTGGGTGGATGCTGTGTACCATGACAGGAGTATGGAGGCCACAAGAACTCCTCAGGGTTGGTCCTCACCTTCCATCTTTTTTTAAAAAATGCTAAGTCTCTAGCTCTCTGCTGTGTTTACCAGACTAGCTGCACTAGAAGCTTCCAGATACCATTTCTGCCTGACATCTTGCCATAGAGGACTGGGAGTGTGCTGCTCCTCATGCCTCAGCTTTTACATTCCTTCCTGGAAGTCAAACTCAGGTCCTTGCTTTACCAATCAAACCATCTCTTCAACTCTCCTATTTCACATTGTTAAGAGACCTGGAGAACCCGGAAGGTTCTTTATTTCCCAGGCGGACTTTTAATGGAAAATCCCTTCCCCAAGCCTCCTGAGTGTTGAGGTTGCAGCCTCATACCAAAATATGCTGCTTTTGGCTTTGATT